TTGTTTCATGTGACGAGAATGACTGCATTATTTCCCAGGGTCACCTGCAAACATCACACAGATTCTTTGCCTTTAGAAGCCACCCATTTTATGAGCTGGGGCCCTTTCCTCTCTCATCTCCAGTATGTGTCAGGGGAACATACTGAGAGCAGTAGGAACCAGCTGGATTTGTGCCCTTACCTGGGGATTATAGGCTAAATCCTTAAGCCATTCATGATTATTTGGCCTTTCCTTACTAGGATGAAAGCAGGTTCTTTCCCAGTAAGTAGAAAATGTATTGTGCCCACCTGTGATTCAGTCTCCTTTTCCAACTGAAAGGATATTGACTCTGTGAGAGAAACCTCTTTCTTAGTTACTGTCCCATAATTCTTCTTCGAAACTGTCCAGAGAGAGACAGTCTGATTGCTATCTGTTTACCTGGTTTATCATTTAGATCTCTTTAGATGGTCAAAAACAGAAAACCTGACCTAACTGTCTTAAGGGGAAGAACTGGAATTTATTGGCTCACCTGATTAAAAAGGCATGGCCAGATACAAGGGCTTAAACCATGTTGTCTAGACCCACTGTCTCTATTTCTCTTGTCTCTGGCTTTGTTTGTCCAACTCACTTTCAGGGTCCACGTGGTGGCACCTAGCTGTTACACAACCTGCCAGGTGCAAGCCCAGCAAACAGTAGGTATCTTTTCCCCTGCCTCCTGGAAAAGTCCTGAAGTTCACTTTGATGGGGCTGGCTTAGATCTGGCCATCTCTGAACCAGTCATTGAGTCCAGAGCGATGATATGTGTTTGATCAGTCTGTCCTGAATCTCATTCCCCACCCCTGGAAGGAGCAAGAAGAGGGTAGCTCCCCAACCTAAAAAGAGGCACTACACACACACACAAAAGGAAATGGGAGCTGGTGGGCAAATAACTAGTCTTAAGCCACTATGAGGAAGTTGGATTCTCCCTTAAACGTACTAAAAGACTCCACTGGCCACCCGCCAGTTTGTGTGACCTTACCCGCCTCACCAGCGACAGGATGGGGTTCTGTGAAGCAGTTCGTGCTCCCCAACCTCTCCCTGTTATTCTCACCTTCCTGTTTGCTATTCAGGAAAACTACAAGAATTCTCTTTCCTCTTCTTTTATAATACACACTTATTCAAAATACACACAAAAGTCTATACAAGAGGAGATGAAGAAATTATTAGGAGCCAGTATAATTATGGTGGTTCTCATTGTACATCAGGGTTTAAGGCAATTTTAAAAATATGTAAAAGTAATGGAATCAAATCATTGTTTAAAAAATATAGAAACCACAATTCCACTACTTTAACCGAACCACTATTTTAATTTTAGAGTGTTTCCTTTCAGCCTTTGTTCATGTGAGTTTCTCACAAACTTGTATATCTTGGGTTTTTTTTACTAGACATAGTACAAACATTTTCCATGTTGCTTTACAGTCATTGTTGTTATGTAAGTGGTAACATAATATTCCATCAGGTAGATATACTGCAATTCCCTTAATCCTTCTTCTGTCATTAGACATTTAGGTTGTCTCTTTTTTTGTTTTTCTACTGTTATAAAGAATAGTGTGTGCTGGACATTTCTGGGGTATGTAACTTTTCTCATGCCTTATCTTATTTCCTAAGGGTAGATTGTGAGAAATGGGATTACTGGTTCAGAGAATATAAACATTTTTAAGACTCTTGATACATATTGCCAAGTTGCTTCTCAAACTGTTGGATTTATCTCTATGTCTACAGCAATTTATGAGAGGATCTGTTTCACAGCATTCTTGCCAGCAATAGATATTTAGATTGTTAAACATTTCTAATGTTATTTTTCTAATCTAATAGGCCAAAAATGTATCATTTTTGTTTTAATTTGCATTTCTCTGGTCACTAGCAAGGTTAGATGCTTTTATGTGTGCTTGTTTATTAGCGTATTTTATGTTCTGCTTTATATATTGTCTTTTCTTTGTTTTAGACCCCAAAACAGCTTCTGAGACAGAAACAGATATCTGTGCTGAATGGGAGATAAAGACCATCACTAGTGCTCTGAAGACCTACCTAAGGTAGGGACTTTCCATTTTCAAGGCAGAGTGCCAGTTAATTATCATGCGATCAGGAAGAAAGCAGTTTTATTTTCAGCCTCCAGAGAGCTGTTGGGTGGGTGGTTGAGATGTGGAAACAGCTTCTGTGTGGGTGCATTTAGCTCATCTGGTCAAATCAATTGTAAATCATCCATAGTTGATGGGTTGCCGTTGTGAAATGGTTCCATGAGTGATTTAGGAAGCTTTGCTCTTTATAAGAAACACTGTGATAATTAGCCTTGAATAGACCCTAAAATGTGATCTTCCCTGAAATCCCTGAATAATCTGTTAAGAAAGCAAAGAATCACGTATCACATTCTGTTGAGAATACATGATTACATACCCCATGTATTTTGATATTTTTTGTGTTGCACAGATACTGTACATTGCTGACTTTGTTCATTAAAAATGCAAACTTAGTGGAATGCCTTTTTGACTCCTTCCACTTAGATTGGTAAATATTACCTTCCTATTTTCCTTGTCTTAATATATATGATATTACTACTACCTCTCTACACCTCCCTTGGTTATTAAGGGGTGTATTATTGATCAGCTGCCTGCATCTCAGTTTCATGAATAGACTGAAATTTATGCTGGACTTGACAGGTAGGCATATTGTAGTTCTGCACTGTAGTTCTTACCCAGGAAAGTGGGACTTAGTCTTAAACAGAGGGGAGAACTGCAATCATGAATTGCATAAGCCTTTATACAGGTTTTGTGAAGATTCACTTGGCTGGAGAGCAAAGCAGGAAGGCCACAGAAAAGGAACTGGTGATGCAGGTTCTATTGGCTATTGGGGAATTGAAGTCAAGAGTAAGACATAATGCAGATGATGACTAAGAGTTGAAGTAGAGGATCCAATGAGAATAAAATCTGAACCAGTAATAAAATGAATAATGTACAGTCTGTTGAGAAGTTTATTATGTGGACTATCAGAAAAAATTCAAGTTTATAGTTAAACATATTCATACTCCAGCAGGAAAATGTGCTTATATCATGCCTGATATTAGGGGTTATAGCCCTATTTAGCATTCTGGAGTAACACCCCATAGCGAATTTACCACAGAAACACCTACAAAAGCTTTCCAGAGTTTCTCGATGAACTGATTCTAACAACAAGCTGCTGGGAAACGAGAGTTTAAGCACACAGGTAATTGCAAATGTGTAGTTAGTTGCCTGTTTCTCAGACACATCTTGAAATGCTCTAGTTTATGGGTGAGTCACTGTAAAGAAAATCTCTTAGTTTGTGCTAGACTTTTGCATTAATACTTTTTTAGTTGTGACAATTCCCTTAAAAAAGAGGGAATGAAACCTTCAGGTGATATCTCAGGACCCTTTCAGTAGGGAAACTAAATTGAGTTACTGTTGTTTCCCTGTGGTCTTTGTCTTTGAGTGATGTCGTACAGTTTGGCAGTCTCTAGGTTGCTGTTTATAGAGAATATGCTTATTTCATTATTAAAGCTGACTAGCGTATGTCCTTTTATCCCAGAATGCTTCCAGGACCACTCATGATGTACCAATTTCAAAGAAGTTTCATCAAAGCAGCAAGTAAGCCTTCTTTTTGTCTGTTTTAAGGAGGAGAGAATAGACTTTTCCATTTCAAAGAACAGTTAGTATCCCCAAATACATATTATCTAACCCTTTATATTCTGCATATAAACTGCCCACATGTGTGCTCCTCAGACTCTGACACAGAATAAAAATGAAACCACATCAGGATTGCTAAGGGCCTTGCTACCATGTTGAATTTACGGTAGAGGAGAGAAAAAACAAGTTCGCCTTTCTAGTTTTGATTATTGGAGTTCTAACTTCTTGGGGTATTTCCAGCCTTTAAGTAGCATTTTGCAGAATGAATCAGACATGGCACATTACCTAAATTGAGCATTGGAAGTGTTTCTCAGAATATGAAACCATTTATATAACTTCACAGTCCCCTTTCCATCATGTCTTCCATTTACAGCTTCTGATAATTCTTCAGCTGTATCATCCAGGTCCCTAGCATCATATTACTGATATTAAAATACATAGGGATTAGGTGCAAGCTACCCTAAGTATCCTGGAATCTGTCTACATGGGGTAGGTCTTCTGTAAGGGGCAGTAATATTCTCTATCAGATTTAAATCTGGCATGAATCCTCACAGTATTACTATGTCGATAGCTTGTGCTTCTCCCTGGTTCCTTTCAGCTTTTCGAGTTTGTTTACCCTGGTAGCTACTACTGGCCTAATTTAGTAGTACTTCATGTTCTGGTGGCCTTATCTACTGATAGTTGCCCCTTAAAACAGGGAGAAGGAAGACATGGGAGGAAGCTGGGAGTTAGGATGGTGTTTATGTGGTTTCTTTCTCAGAGAAATTCCAAACCCATAGCAACCATTCTCTAGTAACCTCACATCAGTCCTATAAATAGGTGTGATGAGAACCATCAATCTATTTGCCATAGAAACAAGGCTACTTACCCAAGTTCAATCAAGAGAATGTGATGAGCCATGATTTAGATTACAGATTGGAAGAAATATTTAAATATTTTATCTGCCATTGCTGTCTTTATGGCAGGCTGCTTGTCAAACATGACTTAAAAAATGGTCACTTCTTTGATTTCTCTGATGTCTTGAAGCGTTATTTTGATATTTGAGACGTCTGCAATGTTGCTCATGTAAGATTTGTTTATCACTTTGAGTGCATGAAGTTCCTTCCTTCCTTGAAATGAAGTCGTCCCTCTAGGGAGCCAGCTGCTCCTGAGTTCATTCCTGCTTTGGGTGTGCAGTTGACTGGCCCCATTTCATCACGTCATCATTTTGGCGTGAATTTTTTGACAGTCATTTTTTTTGATGAACTCTGTTACAGAAAGTACCATTAAAAGGACTTCTGGATGTAGTCATGCTGGTCATGCAGTATGCATGCAGGACAGGATTGTAAATCTTTGAGAAATCCTTGGTCTGTTAGTACCCAATCTTTGGTTTCCCTGGATTTTTGTCTTATCAAATGGTTTAGCTGTGACACTGATAAAATATTACCTCCCTCCTTCCTTCACAGAGCTGGAAAACCAGGAGTCTCGTGTCTCTGAAATCCATAGCCTCGTTCATCGGCTCCCAGAGAAAAATCGGCAGATGTTACAGCTACTCATGAACCACTTGGCAAAGTATGTTTAAGACTGAGTGCTGGCCCTTTTCTCACCCTAGAAAGTTCTTATCTTAGCAATAAAGCTGGTCTCAGTCTTGCTTATGTTTCCCTCTCCCACTATTGCATCAGGTATGCTGGAGGCTTAGGAAAGAAATGTGTGAAATGTTAACTGCAGTGGATAACAGCAGCAAATGCCAGATTGCCTTCACAGTGGAGGCTGGGGCAGTGCCCATGCGACCAGTTCACCAACCAGAGCTTGCAGCAGAATTTTGCTTATGATGATCACGGGCACCCAGAATGTTCATCCATGGTACAAAGTCACCATGCAGAGTTTTCAGGGGTTATATGAGGGTACCTGAAAAAGTTCATGGGAAAATAGAATTAAAATATGATATGAATCTTTCCATGAACTTTTTGAAAACCCCTTCTTATGTTCTGGTGATTGTCAAGGACAAACAAGAATATGTTGTGGGTTTATAGAGCTTGGATTTGGAGTAAGGAGGCCTGGATTCTAGAGCTGACTCTGTTCTTAACAAGCCACTTAATCAGCCCTGGACAAACATTGAACCTTCTATTCCTTAGTTTCTTCATCTGTCAAATATGGATAGTAGACTTTCTTCCTTTGTTGACAAGGTCATTGATTTTAAAAGTTACATGTATTAAAGCCTTTGAAGAAGTATAGAGAATAAAGGAATTATTTTTGGCAGATGTCCCCTTGCTCTCTGAGATGATCGATGTATTCCTGCTAGGAGTATTTACACTCTTGGAATGGTTTTGAATTTTTGTGTGTTATTGTTGCTTGACCCTTTTAGGAATGGTCTTGCTGCATCAGTCTCTGTGTTTGTGCATGTTCTCACCTTCTGTCGACTTTGGTGGGATGTTCTTGATTACCGACTGGAGCGCGAGACAAGAATGAGAGTATAACAGTTAACCTAAATTGTTCAGCCCTGAATTCTACTGAACTGCTGTGTTACAAATTCGGTCCTTGTCCACAGTTTGCTCATGCCATTAAGTTATTTCTTTGGAATAAGTTGATACTCCTCTGAAGGAGATTGGCATGGATAATCCTCATATTCCTGTCAAACACTTGATAGTACCTTTTGGAGAGAAAGCGAATACATATCATAAAGATTTCCATGGGCATTAATTAAGAAGAAACTGATGTTTTGTGTGTTGGTGAGAAGCAATTATATAGAGTCAAGGGTTGCTCCATTATTGATCAAATCTTTTTCTTGCCATGCCACATGTTCAGGAATAAGTAAGAAGCATAGCAGAGAACATGTAAGTTTATAGGGAGGATGCTCAAAAAATGTCAAAGAATCTTGATGAAATGTGTTTAAAGTAATGGGACATGGGCTTTAAAAAGTAACTCCAGATCCTTTGAGGTGACAGTTTGGTGCCTGTTCCATACAATCCAGAGTCAGGCATTTGTTAAATGAAAAGGCTGGTTTAGATCTCACTTGCAAAACTTTACACACTTGAAGGGCATGCACCAAAACAGGAGGTTCCAGGTACACGCTGCAGCCATGTATGTGGAGGGACTCTCGGTCTTAAGGAGGCCTTCAGGCCTGCTGGGAACAGCTAGAGAAGGGTTAGGAACCAGCTAAAAGTAGTGGGTCTTTTCCAGCTGTGCAGTGGATTGGGAGCTTAATTGGGCTGAGAGACCAATAGTGAATAATGATCCAGATGCAGCAAAGCCAGTATTGCATTTTTCCTGTTTTTAAATTGCCATGAGGATTAAGACTTTGAAAAAAAAGAGAAAAGATTTTAAAAACAAAACAAAGCCCTTACAGTACATCTTGAACAATTAATCCTGCTCATCTCCTGGTGAATGGTTCATTTTTTCCATCCTTCTCCAATCCCTTTAAGTTCAGGCCATCCTTGTTCCTAACCTAAGGAATAGTACAACTGGAATATTAAAGTTATAGCTGTGACCTTGAGTTTTTGTCTTTTAGTCGATTTAAACCAATTTTGTTGCTGGAGTTTTCATTTCATAGCATTTCTGGAGCATTGTGTCTTGTCTTTAATACTTGAATGATTTTTTTTTAATGGCATTTCTTTGTTTATTTAATCATCAAGAAATCTATATATAGACAAGCTCTCATGCGGTAATGTGAATTGGTCAGAGCTGGTATTAGAATACGCAGACTCAAGTTCTCAGCATGCTGTGTTCTTAGACTCTGGAGCCTCTAGATTGAAAATATCCTTGAGTAGATGGGTATAAAGGAGCACTGCTGAATCCAGTAAAGAGTATTTATTTAGGTCTGAAAAAATTCTTTGGCACCCAGAGGAGTTCTTAGATTCCACTTAAACTCTATATTCTCATTTACAGTATTGTCCTTATTTTAAAATTGAGCAATAAGGAAAAGTTAACTTGGGACAAGAGGTTTGTCTAATTCCAGTTTTCTCAGGTTCAGACTTAGCCTAGGATACGCCTGAGCTATTGTTCCTCTGGGCCACTTACTTAATGGTCAGCTTCCTTCCTAAGTTTTGGTTTCAGGGCTGATTCTGCTGGAAAACCCAGTGTTTACTTCTCTCATTACCTGCGATTTGCCCTGTGCATCTCAAGCTTCTGGTTCAAAGGCAAGACATTTTGTATTGTGTATTAAAGTACTCTTTTCGAAACATTTTCCAAAATTGATTTCCTTTAGCTGTGGAGGGAGCATTAAGGCCATTTTTATTTAATCCCAAGTA